ATACGTGTAGGTACATAGTCAACACAATGTATCTATAAAAGTTAAAGTGTCTTATAATTTAGAACATAGAAGAGAATATAAAGTTAGTTAAAATTAAGTTGTTTAACCTAGGAGGAGTGATTCTAAGAATTTATTTATGTTACGGCAGATGGAGTATTGGAGTATATACGCTAGAGGCAGGGATAGGCTGGACGGCCGAACCAGGTGTAGCTTGATTGTTTGTTATCTCCTACATCTCCTACAACTATAAAAAGAAAGAAAGTAAGACCACCGTTTCGTGCGACAATCGTCGCTCCGTCGGTCCGCTTCACCCCCTACGACCGCGACTTCCCTCCAGCCACCGTGACTTCCCCCGTGCGATCCCTCTCCATGCCGTCAATCACGCACCCGGCACTCCATCCCCCTCGCCATCGTGCGATCCCTCTCTTCCCTACGATCCTTCCTTCCCCGCACGCTCGTTCCTCTCCGCGCCGTCAATCACGCACCCGGCGCTCCTTCCCCCACGCGATTGTGCGATCCATCTCCTCCCCGCAATCCTTCCTTCCCCATGCGCTCCTTCCTCTCCAGCGCCGCCCGCCGGTGTCTGAACCCCCGCCGCCCGTGTGAAAGGTCCTTGTTGGTTTTGGTAATTGAGTGACAACCTAGGTGGACTAATTGTGTTTATGTGAGATACACAGGTGATTAGTCCACAGGTACATGTGTGTGAGCAACATATGCCATGAAGGTGAAAATGGCTTAGAGATGTTGCAAAGCTCACACACGTGATGATGAAGGAGCTTATTGCACATGAGACATGACATTGAGTCATGACCGGGTTTAGGATAGATGGCCGTACTATCAAGAGGGGCAAACTTGTTTGCATATCGATCATCTAGTGCCACTCGAGTGATCTAACTTTGCATTGTCGCTAGGATCAAGTGGCGTGGCAAGTTGAGTGGCTAACATCCTTTGGGAAATGATTGTGAAAATGCTAACACACATACACATGGTGGTGTACACTTGGTGGTGTTGGCACATTTACAAAGGAGGTGGTGTTTGCAGGGGTAAGATGGGTTTGGGTCCCTCTCTCCCTCCCGCCGAGCTTGCGAGGCGGGATTCGGCGCTTTCGGGAAAATAGAATGCCTATTTTCTATTGCGCCGGATGCAAGTTCTTGTGGTTAGCACCTTGGAGCAAGGGTGAAGAAGTTAGAAGTGAAAACGAGTTGATTGCGAAGATGCTGGCGTCGGTCCACTGACCGGACGCTGGGTCATGCAGCGACCGGACGTTGAAAGGCTGCGTCCGGTCAAACTGATGGGTCTGCTATGTACCGAGGGTATTGCACCAGACGCTGGTCTGCGTCCGGTCAAGGTGGACCGGACGCGTCCGGTCGAGAAAATATGCCTCGGGGAGCTTACTGGAAACGACCGGACGCTGGGGCTTCAGCGTCCGGTCAGTTTTACCGCTGCGTCCGGTCAAGTCAAGTGACCGTTGGAACCGGGACACGTGGCCGTCTGCGGGCGACCGGACGCTGAGGTCCTGCGTCCGGTCAACACGACCGGAGCGTCCGGTCGGCCCGACCGTTGCCCAGTGAAGGGGTAACGGCTAGTTTAGCCCTTGGGGCTATAAATAGAAGTGGCCCTCGGCCATGGCTGGGGCTAAGCACCTCAAGGGACTTAGTGTCCATGCTTGTGAGTGCTTGGGAGCCCTCCATCACACATATACTTGATAGTGATCATTCGATTGTGTGAGCGAACGATTCTAGTGCGATTGCATCGTGAGGTTGCATCGAGTGGCACTAGGTGGTCGTGTTGCAAGCCGGTGGTGCTTGTTACTCTTGGAGGTTGCCACCTCCTAGACGGCTTGGTGGTGGTCTCCGTCGAAGCCCGCAAGAAGCTTGTGCGGCGCTCCGGAGAAGTGCTTGTGAGGGGTACTTGTGCTCGCCCCGCGGGAGTCGCGAAGAGCAACTTTAGTAAAGCGTGTCATTGAGCTACCCTCACTCAAGGGGTAGGTTCTTGCGGTGCCCGACGTGCGGGCTTAGCGGGTGATGCTAATTAGCCGCCGAACCACCAAGTGAGCGGTCGACACAACGGGGACTAGCGTGTTGGCAAACACGTGAACCTCGGGAGAAAAATCATCGTGTCAACCTTGTTCTTCCCGTTGGTTTGCATCCCCATTACACAAGCTTGCAATTACTTTTATATATCTTAAGCTTGTGTAGTTGCTCTTGTAATTAGATAGCTTGTGTAGCTAGCTAATTACCTTCTTGCTTGTGTAGCATAGAAGTAGCTCCCTTGCGTGGCTAATTTGGTTTGTGTAACCTTGTTAGTCACATTGCTTAGTTTGTGTAGCTAAGTATTTGCGCTCTCTAATTAGGCGTTGGTTGCCTTGTTATTGAGCATTGCTAGTGAGCTTAGTTAGCTTTGTGCTTTTGCTTACTAGCATGTGTAGGAGCTCCCTTATTACTTAAAGTACTAGTGGCATAGGTTTGTGTGACCTTGCTCCTAGAATTGTTTAGGAGAGCTCTAGCTAGCACGGCACCTTAGTTGCTTTATTAGTATCTTTGTAAGGTGCTAGTGAACATATATAGAGGGGTGTAGTCTTGGCTAGACCGATTGTTTTAATTCCGCATTTATATCGGTTAGCCGACGCGATTAATTTTAGAAAAGACTATTCACCCCCCCTCTAGTCCGCCATCTCGACCCTTCACCGTGCTAACATTGACCACCCGACGTTTTCCACCCGGCCGGCGAGAGGTGGACGACGCTGCCCAGGTCTTTGTTGGGCACTTTCGCCGGCAACGTGCACCCACCAGGTATGCCCAGCCCACCCCATCCATTCCCTTCCTGCTGTGCGAAAACTGAGAACCCAAACCCTAATGCAAGCAATTTGCGTTCAGATCCCATCTAATTACAACTGTAGACATGTATTATGCCTATTAACTCCTATGTTAGGTCCAATCCTGCTTGTGATTGATCAAATTACAAGTGTATACATGTATTATGCTATTTTGACGGAAAAGAAATATGTTTTGGTCCTATGGATGATCCACCCCATGGGGTTTCTCTTAATCATTCTGAAGACGAAAATGTATTGTCATCATTATCATGTATTGAAGCCATTATGTATTTTATATTTTACTTTTTTACTACTTTTAATCGTCTCTAAATTTTCACTGCTACTTTATGTTGTTCGGTTTGTATGCTGATAAATCAAGGAATTCAAGGGCCCGAGGGAACAATATATGCTATGGGAGTTTTCATTCTGAAGATACAAATTCCTGAAAGGTGCATTTTTATAGATATCAAAACAAACCTCTATGCCTCACTGAAAAATGAGAAGAGAAGCTCATCTTTATCACCCTATAATATATTTTCTGATATTCATACTTTTTCGTAGACACATGTATCCTTCTGAACCACCCAATGTGACTTTTGTTACTCCCATTTATCATCCCAATATTGACAATGGAGGGCGCATTTGCCTTGATATTATGAATTTACCCCCAAAGGGAATCGATAGGAATTGCCCACGTGCTCAATGGTAGCTTAGAAATCTCATAAATTCATATCCAGTCTAGATATTTTAGAAACTCTTATTTGTAATCGCAGCAGTCTTTGTCATTGATGATGATATTATTGCATAGGGAGCCTGGCAACCATCACTCAAGGTAATTCATGATTGTGGCCGTGATCAATATTGCTATTGTTTTGACAAGTATTAGCTTGCTGCTAAGTGATCCACATCCGGATGATGGGTTGATGGCTCAAATAGTAAGAACATTTCAGTACAGTTGCAGTATGATAGTGGTATACTGATACATAATGCACTTGAGCTCATCATCCAACTATGTTTCTTTTTTCCGAGACAGAGTCGAGAATACAAATACAACAGACAAGTTTTAGACATAAATGCTCGGTTATGGACAGAGAAGTATGTGTCATTTCTTGTTAAGGCCCCGAGAAGAGCAATGAGAAATCAAGGGTCTTAATTCTCTGCTCTCCATCTAATCCATCAGGGCCAGTATATCCAAAGTACTTGCTTAAGAAAATAACTGATGTAGTCAAGAAGCATCCTAGGCTTCTGGTAATTTCTTTGGTTTATATTGAACTTTTAATCAACCTGTTAAATTTCACTAAACATCATAAAATGTCATTTTTTAAATTTTTGTAGGTTCTATCTGATGAAATTTATGAGCATACTATCTACCAGCCTGCAAAACACACAAGCTTTGCTTCACTGCCTGGAATGTGGGAAAGAACATTAACTAGAAATGTTTTTTCTAAGGTAGATCTGTTTGCTGTTTAGTTTATTACCCCTCTCCAGAAATGTGTGTGCGCTTTATTAGCTTTATTTATTACCCTTATCATAAACATTATAATGTACCTTTTCAGAACTACATGCCTAACTTATTCCAAAACCAGAACTTGGCCATTAGGTAATGTAACCAAGTACTGAAATATTTGATGATGGAACTTTTACGGGCTTTTGCTATGGCAGGTTGGCATTTTGGTTGAGAAGTGAAGTATATTTGAAAAAACTTGTTAATCTGAAATGGCATTTTAGCTCCGGGTCGGCGCCATAGCTCCGGGCCACCGCTGGTTTTCTTGTTTTTTCATTGTCTGCATTCTTTCCACAAGGATCTTGGGTGGATAAACCAAAATCAGCAGCCAAAAGCACCAGTGGTCTAGTGGTAGAATAGTACCCTGCCACGGTACAGACCCGGGTTCGATTCCCGGCTGGTGCATTTTTCCTTTTTACAATTTTGTTTTCTTGTTCTTTCCACTCTGTTTTGTGTGCGGTTGTGCCACTGAGGAAGAATGCGCGCACACCACACAGCGACACTTTCATTCATGCACAAACAAGACTATCTTGGCGACAATTGGGCTTTTGAGGCACACGATTCCATCATGATTAAATGGAGATACATGGATGTGCAATTGCATTCAGAAGCTTATCTTACTCGTACCCATATTTACACTAACATTTCGCGCGCGAAAATAGAAGGAAGGCTGACCCCCGGTCAAAAATTGAGGTCCGGCACGACCTGCCCCGCCTCCACCTCGGCGTCCGTGAGCGTGAGCGCTCTCTGCAGCTTCCGGCTGGAGAACACCTCCACCTCCGCCGCGTACATGGCCGTCACCGGGCGGTGGTCCGACAGCGCCAGCTCCGACCGCCGGTAGCCCAGCAGCCTCAGCCCCTTGCCGTACGACAGCACCCGGTCGCACCACGCCGGGGTCCGCCGCCCACCGCCGCTCCTGTGGCTCTGGCTCTGGTCGTCCCCGACGCCGACGTACCTCCTCGAGCTCAGCTCGTACTTGTAGGTCGGCGCGAACTCCAGGACGCCCTCCGTCCACCCGTCGAACGCCCGCCCCTTCCTCAGCTCCCGCTTCAGCTGGTCCGTCTCCGCCAGCTCGCGCCAGCGTCCCGCCGAGATCAGCTCGTGCGCTCGCTCGTACGACGCGTCCAGCCGGTAGTTCAGATCGCCAAGCCAGAAGATCCGGCTGCAGAAACAAAAGCATCGTCAGGTTCCCGAATCGATTCTGATGTTGATGTGATGCATCGCATGTGAGTGTACTCACTCATGGTCGTGGATGTCTCTGGGCAGCTGCAGGTCGCCGGGGGCGGCGAAGCGCGTGCGGCGGTGGATCTCGTGTACGTCGGCGTTGCGCTTGTGGACGTCGCCGGGCTTCTCGCCGGCGGAGAGGTGGCTGCACACGAAGCAGAACATGGTCTGGTAGACGGACATGCTCACCGACACGGCCCCTTTGTTGCCGATGTAGCCCATGGCGCCGACGCCGACGGTGGAGACCTTGAGGTTCTGGACGCACTTCCGGAGGCCCCGCCGCACCCACACCGTCAGGAAGATCCCCACCATCTGCTTGCTCACGATCCGCACGAACGGCGAACGGCTCTTCTTCCGCAGCGCGCCGTCGAGGTCGAGGTCCGGGATCATGGGCAGGTCGTCCGCCGCCGCCGCGTCGGCCACGCGGGACGATCCCCTGAACGATTTGAACGACTTGGACGCCTTGAACGACAACGCGGCGTTCAGGGCGCGCGGGGGGAGCAGGTCCAGCGGCTGCTCCGGCCAGACCAGCCCCACCCTGTCCGCCCTGCTCAGCGACCTCAGGAGCGCCCGTTGCTGAAGGCCTAGCTGCTGCTGCGGCGGCTGATCAGGCCCGTCGTCCAGTTCGTCGCCGTTGAGCTGCGATGAGCCATTCTCATTCTCATCCACGACGACGCTGAAGTGGTTGAGCCTGCTCATCTTCTTCGGTGTGGCCGTGACGTACTCCTCGGCCAGCACGGGGAAGCTGAAGGGCACGTCCTCGTCGGTGTCGGTCTCGGTGTCCGTGACGCCGGGGAGGAGCTCGTCGGCGGCCGCCGCGGCGTCGACCGGCGGGTCGAACCGCGACGGAGAGGGAGGGTGGCTGTAGCACCTGTACTTGGGCTTCGACGGCTGCGCCCGCCGTAGCGCGCCGCGGATCACGGACTCCCACGCCTGCGCCGGCCGCCCGTCCTCCGCGCCGAACACGTTGCCGGCGTTCAGCGGCACCACTTCCTGGAACCTGCATTCATGCACGGCGTCCGGTTCGCTTAACATCGATCGATTAGCTAGCACGCCTGCACTACGGCAAGTCAAGTTGGGCGGCCGGGGACATATATAGACATACCCGAGCACGTAGATGTCGGTTGGTTCGGCGTCGCCGCCGGTGCCGAGCCACTCGGCGATGTCGAGGTCGTCCGGCGGTGCCTTGCCGCCGGCGTTCCAGGTGCCGACGCAGACCCTGCGACCCCGCCGGACATGCATGGTTAGTCGTCGAACCGAAAGAAGCTTTCACGCCGTCGCGCGTCGCTGAAATTCCAAGACGGCGACGAGGAATCACAATTCACAATTCACATTTCACACGGCGGCCGGCGCACCTCAGCTCTTTGGTGTTGATGTACTGCGCACGCAGCGTCTCCGAGTTCCGCCGCCGCAGCTTGTACGGCGCGCTCTCCAGGCTCTCGTCTGATGCCGCCGCCGGTGCAAGCAAATGTTAGTAAAAATCGGCAGAAGCATCGTAATTGAAGCGAATTCACGGTCAAAGCAACATTATTTTCTTTGAAAAAAACGACTACGAAGTTTAATTTTACCCAAAATTTAAAAACTGCCAATTAATACTACTATAAGTACTAGAGCATCATGAATTCTTTTCAGTCTTGGAGGAGAATAGAATCATAAAGGCTGGCCGATCTGCCAGATTAGGCAATTGTTGGGGAAGCCATTCTAGTGACTATCAGTATAGACAAGATTCAAGGTGGCCGGGGCCCGGGGCCCGGGGCCGAGCCATGCCCGTGACGCGACGCATCAAAAGCACTAATGGCACAAGGAGGACCCAGTTGGTTCATCTTTTCTTCCTCCTACCAGGCTACCACAAAGAAGACGGCGACGAATAGTCCAGAGGTGCACTTTTCTACTATAGATAAGATCACCACATCGACGGACGGCCGGCGACCCGGAACGCGCTTTCAGTTGAGTTGAGCCACGGTTCAGTTCAACACGCAACAGACGGCCGGATTGCAGAATTAGATTGCTAAGGTAAGTAACCTCACCGGTGATCTGGACTCCGTCCTCGGCCGGCCGGCGAGCGCCGCCGTCGTCACAGCCGCAGTTCTCTGGCAGAGCAAATGAAATCGAGGCAGCAGGAAGTGAGGGACGGAGAGAACAAAGACGTGAATGATCTTTGGGCACTGAACGAATGGTAAACCCCAGAACAAGAACAGAAATGCGTCGATCGGGGAAAGAAGAAGAGATTTCGGCGAACCGTACCTTGGCCGTCAACGTCGCTGCCGTCGTCGTCGTCCTCGTCCTCATCGTCGTCGGCGCCGAAGTCCAGGTCCTTGCTCTTGAGGTTGAGCCACTTCTTGAGCACAATCTTGGGCCAGAACACCTGCACCGAAAACGCATCAGCGGCGCCTATCAGCATCACAGCAGCATCCTCTTGTTTTCAACCAAGAAAAGGAAAAGGGAAACAATTTTGAAAGGAAGAAGAAAAATGAAAACAGAAACTATCGGGACGGGAAGCTCTCGGATTCTGATCGAGTTAGTCAGCCGCTGAGGCTGCAACGCAAAGAGAAGCGAATTGAGCAGAGGAGAAGGCACAGCTTCTCATACCTCGGCCGGCGCCCTCCTCTGCTTCTGCACCACCATCTCCTGTCTCTTCCTCGGATCCTCTCCTTCCCTGCCTTATCCTCTCCAATGGCGCCCTTCGAGATTCTTCAGTTACCGAAGACTAGCTAGCTCGGGGCACTTGTACGGTACGAGCACCGCACCCGTGGGCTGGCTGTGGATCGGTTTGGCTCCTCGTGCAGACGGTGCAGTCAGTGTGGCAGGACAAGAGGTAGCTTGGGGCCGGGGGAGTCTGGGAGAGCTATATACCAACACAAGTGCAGCAGAATGCGGGGTCGTCTGGGACAGTGCTGCTGGGTGCTGGGGCCTTTCCCGGAAACCTGCTGCTGCGCTAGCTGCCGGCCAGGTCCCGCCTCCCGCGTGTGGTCGCCGAGGGAGGGGGACGCAGACGCTAGTTTCTACTGTATTCCCTAGGCGTTAAGCATGTATTTGGCATTGGTATTGTAGGAAATATTATCTCTATGTTTGTTTATATCACGTGTGTTGTCACTAAATGCTTTACATATATTAGGGTTTACATGTAACCAATGTATAAAATATTTGTGGGACCTTAGAAGTACTTTTAACATGTTTAGAATGTCATATGGAACAACTTTGGTATTCATGGCTTATATCAATTTGGCCTCAAGTCATGGTTATAGTGTAAGTTATCATTTTCATGTTGCATGATTGACCTAAGTTGAACTATACTCTAGAGACTTTGCATGGTAGTGCACCCTTAAGAAAAGTTATAATACTTGACTAGAGCAACAACTTTTATTTTTGGGTCAAGACCTAATTCGGTGCATAGCATGCTCAAAAATAGCTCACAAGTAGCTAGAAATGCTGTTTTGAAGGCTTGAAAATTTTTCTAAGTCTAAACTGCGTTTACAGTTTCAAGTGCTGCACTTTGGTATGTTTCTTGTGAACCATCACCCTGCAGTTGTTCTATTTAATTCTAGAGCTTCACATTTATTCATGAGTCCAACATTTGCATCCAGGTATAATCAGAAGGTAGTTACTGTAGAAAAAGAGGGCTATTGTATAAGTGCGGCTGGGTGCCAAATCTCCACCAATCAAATAGTTAGAGAAGTACATATCTTGATAAGTAATAGGGAGTACACTGTCGATCTAGTGGTATTGCCTGGTTTGGGGATAGATGTAAGTTTGGAAATGAAGTTGATGAGCGGTCATGGAGTTTTTATTGATACCTCCACTAGAGTAATTATGTTGAGAGAACCCAAGACCAACGAGGCAATTCTAGTGCCCTTTCCTAGAGAAATTGACCTTCATAATACAGCTAATGCCATCCAGCTTTCGACAATTACTGATATTCCGGTAGTATGTGAGTTTCTGGATGTCTTTCCTAATGAATTGTCGAGATTACCACCTGACAGAGAGATAGAGTTCAAGATAGAATTGTTACCGGGTACCGCACCCATCTCCCGAAGATCTTATAGGATGCCACCTAACGAGTTGGCAGAACTGAAGATTCAACTACAAGAACTGTTAGAGAAGGGTCTCATTTGCCCTAGTTCGTCACCATGGGGTTGCCCAGCCATATTCGTGAAAAAGAAGGACAAGTCTTTGCGGATGTGTGTGGACTATCGACCACTCAATGCTATTACTGTCAAAAACAAATATCCTTTGCCTCGCATTGATATCTTATTTGATCAATTGGCAAAAGCAAAAGGGTTCTATAAGATTGATTTGAGGTCAGGTTATCACCAAATCATGATAAGGTCTGAGGACATACCTAAGACGGCTTTTTCCACTAGGTATGGCCTTTATGAGTATTTAGTCATGTCCTTTGGATTGACCAATGCTCCTGCCTATTTCATGTATTTGATGAACTCGGTGTTCATACCCAAACTTGACAAGTTTATGGTTGTGTTTATCGATGATATCTTGATTTATTTAGAGACTGCAGAAGAGCATGAGGAGCACTTGAGAGTGGTGTTGTCGAGACTAAGAGAGCATAAGTTGTATGCAAAGTTTAGTAAATGTGAGTTTTGGTTAAAGAAGGTACCTTTCCTAGGTCACGTATTATCTGAAGATGGAATTTCTGTACACCCATCCAAAGTGCAAGAAGTGTTGGATTGGAAAGCCCCAACCTCCGTTCATGAGGTTTGGAGTTTTCTTGGCTTAGCAGGATATTATCGTCGGTTTATTCTAGATTTCTCTAAAATTGTCAAGCCTATGACGAGCCTACTTCAGAAGGATGAAAAGTTTGTATGGACACCAGAGTGTGAAGCAGCTTTTCACACTTTGTGGACTTGTTAACTACTGCTCCTATTTTAGCACAACCTGACATTGAGAAACCATTTGATGTATATTGTGATGCATCAGGTATCGGTTTAGGATGTGTTCTAATGCAGGTAGGCCGAGTCATTGCTTATGCCTTGCGTCAATTGAGAAAGTATGAAGTCAATTATCCAACTCATGATTTAGAGCTAGCAGCAGTTGCCCATGCTCTAAAAATTTGGAGATATTACCTGCTTGGTAATGTTTGTCACATCTACACTGATCACAAAAGCCTTAAGTACATTTCACTCAACCTGAGTTGAACATGAGGCAGCGCAGATGGTTGGAATTGATCAAGGATTACAACTTGAAAGTGCATTATCATCCGGAAAAGGCCAATGTGGTTGCCGAAGCCTTAAGGCGAAAGTATCATTGTAATTCTCTGTTAGAAGATGGCTTTAACCTATTGCATACGACAGTCTTACACAATATCACTGTCAAATGCTCTCTTGAGTAAAAAATCATTGAGCTCCAACAGACCGATCTGGGTATATTCCATATCAAAAGAAATATAAAAGAAGAAGAAAGTAAGCATTTTCGATTGGATGAGAATGGTGTTCTATGGTTTAAAGATCGGTTGGTAGTACCAAAAGTTAGAGAGCTTAGGAACCAAATCTTTGATGAAGACTCTAGCAAATAACAAGAGTGTCACCTACAATGAATTCGTGAGTGATGCGCTCACATAGGAGAATCATAATAATATTTATGTTGCATCCAAGAGCGCAAGAGGGCCTTTGAAGCCGGTGTATCTCAACAGAGAGCTCCAGTGGTGGCAAGAACCCAATATCACCCACCTGCTCCAAAATACCGGCCACCTTAGAAGAAGGCCTAGCGAAGCCAAGCAAATAAAGGGTATCATCGGGCATACTCTATTGCTCTACCGCCTAAGGGTGGTGCAGGACAAGGCAACTCAAAGGTACCGCCTAACAATCAACCATGCTTCAATTGCAACAAGACTGGTCATTGGGTGCGGGAGTGCCCTAACCCCAAGAAGAACAATCAGAAGCCAGCAGCTGCAAATGCACGCCCGAGATATGTGCATTACACCACCATGGAAGAGATTCCCTCTGGCGAGGTTGTTACAATTGGTATCGGAGCAGGATTCAACACTAAACTTGTCACATGTGTAATTAAAACAAAGATTTTTGTTTTATGAACTTAAATTCTACAATTGTAGTAATAAGTTTAGAGTGTTGAAGATTGAACTTAAAACTATAGTGTGCCAGTGGTCATCTCCGTTATGCCCAGTTAAGGATTATTAGGTGGCTATTTAAGTACTAACATGGGGGATTTTTACTTTTGTCATCCATACGGCGTGCTATTGTATGGGTGCCACTCACTTGAGTGGTAATGTATGGATCAGATGCCTCTACGCTAGGTAAGAAGGTAAGTTGATGAGTGACATGACTGCAAAAAGTGAGCGTGCGGTCGGGGAGAGCTAGCTATGATACGGTTGTATATGCATGCTTGCATGTGTATATGGTGTGTATTTAATTGTGGGTAGTGTATTGATCATCGGATAGCTTTGATACAGAAGTATATATATGGGATATATATATATAGAAGTATTTAGTTTACTGCTTTCATATATATCTTGCTATCCTTGATATTCAACTTAGAGCCTAGATTTACCTTTCTATACATATCACTGTTGGGTTGGGCTGAAATGAATTTTCTACAGGTACACTAACAACGAAACGTGTAGTTCGTTTAGTTACGATTATATCAAGAGCACGTATGTATGCCACCGCGTATGTTGTTAGGATTTATTTTTCTATGTTTGTGAGGACGTACGGAACGAACATTCATCATGATACATCATTCATTCATAACATTGCATTGTTCCTCCCCTTGCAAGATCTTATTGTTAAGTAACTCTTTTCTATAATTGCGTTGTCTGACTAAATTGTAATAATTTGCTACAGATGGCAGCCCTAGGAGCCCCTGTTGAAAGCATCACCTTTTTGGCATTGTTTGGGACTTCCACCTTACTGTAGAGGGTACTGCACTCTGTCGGGTATTCTGAACCGCCTCGCTATTTTTTGGAGCGAAGTGGTAACTGAGGGACAACGGTGGTATGACGTGCGGGTCATTGTCACCGCCCGTGTGGACAATCCTCAGTGGCAAGAATGGAGTATCGAGTTAGATGGATAGACCCCTTGGGAGGGTGCCCAAGTGGCCGCTTTTAAAGTTCTCAGTGAAATCTGTCAGGAATTCGATGATGAGCTTTGTCAATGGGCTTGTTGGATCTTTCCCTCGAGTGGATACATCATAGACCGCTTAGAACCAGCCAGGTGGTAATGCTTTGGTAAGAGACCGGGATGAAAGAGCAGGAAGTTGTAATGCTGCCATGAGTGTCATGTATGCAGTTATGAGGATGTTTTACTCTCGCCAGGATAGCTATATCAGCTGTATGCAAGAGCTCCAAAGAGCACAGGCTGCACAATGTAGGATGCAAGGACATGTGCGTAGGGACCGAAGGGTAGTTGGAGTAGCTCAGAATGAGATAGGTAATTATATGATAGCCTTGGACACCCGTCGGAGGCAGTTTGTCCATGCTATTGCTGAAAGAGATGCAGCTAAGGCTGAGTTACAGGACATTCGTGCTGAGAGGGACGAGGTCATTCGCCTTGCGGAAACTAGAGAGGCAGCTAGGATCCAGACTGTGTTTCAAGCTGTTAGGCAGGCAACAGAGTTTGATCGCTGAGAGTAGGAACTCATACACTAGATTCAGGAGC